CTTCTCTACAATGTAATAAAACAGCTCCCCAGATTTCACATAGCCAAAAAGATTGATGAAGAAATACTGCAAGAGGTAATTAAGATGGGATTTGAAAGAAACCGTCTAATTGAGTAAATGAGGGCACGGTTGCCTACTATTTGCTACTTGACAACCGCTTTCTTGTTTCTAGTGGTTATTTGGGTGCTGAATTTCAAGAAGCAATATTATTATTCTAATATTTCAACAACAATATAGTAAGCGAGATGTTTTTTTTGGGGGGGGGGGGAGTATTTTAAATCACCTGCAAGTCTTCCATTAATAAAAACATGAAGGGCATGTCCAAGTGATTCCACATGGAGAAGTGTTTGAGATCCGTTTTTGAAAAAAGGCTCATCGGCCTTCATTTCCCCCCTGAAAATGTTAGCTAAACCTTCAAATCACACACATACACACATACACACATACACACATACACACATACACACATACACACATACACACATACACACATACACACATACACACATACACACATACACACATACACACATACACACATACATACATACATACATACATACATACACACATACATACATACATACATACATACATACATACATACATACATACATACATACATACATACATACATATATATTGCAGAAAAATGTGTTCTTGGATGGATTTTGTATTTTACCTCAAAGAATACCAGAGGTAATCGCTCTTATCAGCCGTGGTATTAATTTGTTCCAGTAATCCGACCTTTGGGAAGGCTTTATTACTTGAAATGCCCACCGGCTCTTTGATCCAACTCCAACCAGATAGGGCCGCAACAGAAGACTTGCGGACGAATCTTGGGATTGTTGCAACAGAGTTTATCTACCATAAAAAAATGATTGAATACAGTTGTGTACTACACATTGATCAAACCACACTAAAAGATTGGATCCAGATTGTTTCTCTTCATACAAACTTGTCTTTAGAAAATAGACAAACCTTTGCAGTATTAAGTGCCACATTCTTGCAGTCGGGGAGGATGCTTACAGACCACGCTGGCAAGGGGTAAGAATGTCCATTAAAAGTCACCGTGGTATCGGCTTTGTTATCAAGATTAGCTAAGAAGGCAGAACACAGCCCTGATCCAGTTTTATAAACGCTAGCCTGACATGGGAAATAATTTTTTCATTAATGTGTTATTACATTGTTTGAGCCACAACCCCATTGATTGTAAGGCATTGGCATGCCAAAATGTATTAACAATATAAATGTGTGTGTGTGTAAACACACACATAAATTTAAACTACACGTGCATCAAATTACAATAACGCCATACCAAACTACACCTAGGAAGCACTTATGATTCAACTGAGAAGGCGATAGTACCTCCACATTCGGACCGAGATAAGTGATAGTGGGATCCATTTCAAGCATAGCTTCTTCACAACGCTTTATAGCCTTATGCAGATCTTTCAAGTGACCCCATTTTGGCTGACTTATTTGGCCTACAACAAATAATTTCAAGTACACAGAAGTCACATAAAAAAGAAGTCATATTCCCTAGAAAAAATTAGGAGTAGATCATTTATATATAAAAATAATACTCCCTGGACTTTTTAAAAAAATGAGTTTAAATGTCAAATAAGTCCTTCGAATGAGTTTGTCACTCCTTCGGGTAAAAAAATGTTCATACATTATCTCTAGTACTCCCCCCGTCCCGCTATGTTTGTCCACTTTGGTTTTGGCACACAAACCCAGGTAATGTGTGAAAAGTCAAAAATACCCTTACTCCAGCCTTTCTCAACACCTTCCTCACAACCCACCCCACTCACGGCTTAGACCAAGCATGTCGCCGCTGCCGCCGCCCAATCCATCTTGACCTCCTCCATCATTCATCTGCCGCCTACCAACCCACCAGAATCCCTACCAGCGTCTATCCTCCACCATCTATTAATGAAAAACCCTTCAGATTCAAAATAAGAAAACAAGAATAAAGAAACTCTTCCAATCTTAAACGTTAAAATCTAGGAAGAGAATGCAATGGATCTTGAAATCCGCACATGACTTGTGAATGAGGACATCGATTTCCTCAGGATCGGCCAAGACGTGCTTGACTTGAAGCCCTCCCATCCGGATTTCGATCTAGATCTTGCGGCACCACTCTTGTGCAAAGATAGTCAACTTTGGTGACGAATTGAAGATTCATCCCTACAGCTTGGATCCAATTCAAGAAGATCAGGAGGAGGAGATGTAAAATTAAGGAAGACAAATTGAATTAGAAGATGAAGAAGGGCTAATTGGCTTGGTGGAAGAAACAGACCAAGAAAAGATAGAAGTGAAGAAGAGGCTGGCAGACTGCAACTTTAATTTGAGGAGGGTATATTCTATTTTATTTGCCATTTAAGGAAAGTGGACAAATATAATGGGACGGCCCAAAAAGGAATACTGGACAAATACTGCGGGACGGAGGGAGTATATTTTAGACAATTCATCATAATTTCATTAATGAAAATGGAGAATGGACAACTAAATCCGGAGGGATGGAGTAACGCTTATATTAAGATTTCAAGAAGATTTACCATACTCATCTAGGGGCGCATCGTAGTCATAGCTTGTTGCAATGAAGGGCCCGCCCGTGGATCGACCGAAGTTAGTTCCTCCATGATACTGTTTAGACAAAACCGGGACGATTCATTCAAGTAATGTGTTTTTTTTTCTATTGTTGTGGTTGAAAATATCAAGTGTGTATATGCTCGTACCATATAATAGTTCTGGAAGGTTCCACCGCGCTGGAAAAACCTTGCCACTGCAAAAGCAATGTCTTCCACAGGTCTGTAAGGCAAAGGGCCACCAAATGAAAGATACCTGGGGATTCAAAAAGAGGAATTTCCACTGAACAAAAGAGTGATCCATTAAGACTTTGGGTTACAACCTAAAATCTTATATGTTGGTTTGTTTCTCTTACGATTTGGGACGACTTAATAAGCGAAAGAACATGATAAAGAAAACTGAAGACTTACCATCCGGTCCAATTCTCTGTCCACATTTTTGGCTTCGAGTTAGAGTTGGGTGTGAATTGGTCGCAATAGAACCCATTGCAAGTGTTTATCTGTCGATTCGGATCGGTTTTCAAGCTTATAGGTTTGAATCAAAACTTTTAAGAATCTTTTTGGGAGGACTGAAAAATTTACAAACTCACTATAGGATCAGGAGCATCTGCTTGCTGGCACATAACCCATGGCACTCCGGTATTCAAAGAGGTTGCCATTGCAGCTGCCCATTCGATGTATGGCTTAGCGCGAGGTCCATAGTCAGATTGAATATTACCATACTCATTTTCAATCTGCCCAAATCATAAAATAAAAAGAATTTAACAATATTAAAAACTGTTTGATCCGGTTTTAGTCATCACCGGAGAATCCAAATACAGATGAAAAAGCTTGTGTTCAGTTCACCTGAGATAATATGATGGGGCCACCTTGGGATGCATAGAGATTTTCCTTCTTCATCAAATCAACAATCTTTTTCGTGAACCGCTGCATTTCAGCCTGGAAAACAATAAACTCTCACATTAACAGCTAATATGGGAAATTAGTTACTAACACACAAAAGAACTAGTAGAAACCTTGAATGGCTCATTGTCAGATCGAAGTTCAATTCCGGGTATGAAATGCAACCAGAGAGGAAACCCACTGTTTCAATAAAGAATTACTTAGCAAAAACAAAAAAGCAGAAGCAAAATTCTTGAAGTATATGAAGAAGAGGATGGTTTTTAGTTTTTACCCATAGTTCCATTCAGCACAAACATACGGCCCGATACGAAGATGAACAAATAAACCAGCTTTTCCAACCAACTTCACAAATTTAACAATATCCTTCCTTCCTTCAAAGTCATACTGCAGAATTTCCTTAATATATTAGCTCACCCTTTTATGCATTCCCATTTTTGTAAATTACTAAAAATAGAAATGCTCATTTCTTAGAATTCAGCCATGTGCTATCCTGCTAAAAGCCTCTTTTTTTTACTAAATCTTATTCTAAACTTTGAAAACCCAATACAAAAAAGCACAGAAGCTCAACCCATCAATATTAAGTAACATAAGACCCAAGCAAAACAATTAAAAGTCAAGAATGACAATAGAAATTCAAGAAAAATAAAAATAAATTCAAGAAAAAACCTGGTTTCTAGCTGGCTCGTGCAAGTCCCAGAAAACGTAAGTCTCAATAACATCCAAGCCTCCATCTTTGGATTTCTGGATCAAGTCTGGCCACATCTGCACTCAACATTCACAAGAAGTGAAAAAAATTGAAACTTTGCAGTCTACAAAATGCAGAGGAGAGGAAGAGAGATGACCTGAGGAGTGCTCCGTGGATAGTGGATGGAGCCGGAGATGAGGAGCCTCCGTTTGCCGTCAATGACCAACGCACGGTGGTCATAGGTCACATTGGCGGCGGCCGACGGCGTCACTGCCGCCAAGAACTGCAGCAGAGCCACCGCGAGTGCCGCCACCACCGACACACCACCTCCCCTCATATTTTATATACTTATCCTTAAAGACCCAATGATTTATTTCTTCCCAATCGAAGAAGACTTTGAAGTGTGAAGTGTGACCATAAAATTTGAAGTGAAAACCCAAAGAGGAAAAAATGGAATTTGTTGGTGACTTCTGGGGTAGCTTCGCTGGTTGGTTAATTTCTAGAGCTAATTAATACGGAGTAAGTTAGAGGGACATTCTTTTACAGCCTTTGTTGAGCAAAGAAAATGATTGATACTCGTTTTCATTTCTTCTAATGTCAATTTTTATTTATTTTAATTACTAATTTAATAAAGTAATGTAATAATATGGCCACTTGTTTTATAAAGTTTTTATATAATTTATAAATATTTAATTTTATCTTTTAATTTCATATTAATTTTCAAATAAATTAAATTAAAAATAAATTTAATCAAATACCATAACGCATAATAGAAAGATATTTTGTGGAGAGAGAAATGTTATTTGCTAGTAACATTTTGATTATTATTCCTACATCTCGCAGTTATCTTTCTATTGTTTATACTGTTTCAAAAAGGATTAAGTAGTACTTTTTTTAGAAAAAAACATGTGACCCATATTTTTTAAGAAGTAAAAATGTCCAAAAAATCTCCCACGCATACAAATTTTAGCCACATATTTTTACATTTACCATTTTTTAAATTGAAATATTTTTATTGGATGAAAAGAGTATATTTTAAAGATACTAAACATGGTAATTGAGATTAAAATATAACTATAAAATTATATAATGACTCAATGTATTTTTTTAAATGCTAATCAAGTTCAATGTTTTTGAACTTTGATAACAAAAATTAAATTGTGATATTTTTTGTAGATAGAGAAAATAATGTTCACATTGCCAAACAAATCTAGTTACCAAACAAACTCCATGTGCCTATATTCATGTCTCCATTTCCACTTATAAATAGATCGAAAGAGGGAGGCAAAGCAAATCCCATAAAAGATGAAGTGTCCAATATTTAAAAGTTTGGGTCCACATTTTGGCATCTTTCCTCTCTTATAACCATTTGTTACAACTAGACTCGAACTCGTGCGTTGCACGGTCTGAGTTAAAGCTAAATAAATAAGGAAAGCATTGATAGAAGTAAAAGATAAAATTTGCTTTAAACAAAGATACGTAATATATATTAAAGAGGAGAAGTTTTACAACAACGCACAATGTGATAAAATAACATAATAAGTTTCAGAAAACTTCTTTATAGACTACATTTGCAGTTTTATTAGATGTCGCAGAATCTTCACCACAAATCAAAATCTTTAATCCATTGCGATTAGTGACTCGTGAAAATGCCACATAAAGCTGGCCATGACTGAATACAGATTTTTTGGTAAAAGCCTAACATGCGTCAATAAATGTCCTTGACTTTTATTAATTGTCATAGCATAAGAAATCTTAATCGGGAACTGTTTCCTTTGAAATTTAAAAGAAATTCTTGCATCCGATGGTGTAAGCAACAATCACGGGATAACAATTTCTTGACCAATGTTTTTCCCTGTCAACAATCTCGGGATAAAAATATGTTCATATAATTCATCCATGTTTTTTCGGGCCAGTAAATACTTAACCAATAAATATACTCACTCCGTCATTGAGTATTTGTCGACATTTGATTTTTTCCGTAAAAATTAGTAAATTTTGACCTTAAATTTAAAAATGGTATTAGATATTGATACAAAAATAGTTTTATTACATTTATTATATCATTTATTTTCAAAAAATTGATTTATCTAATTAATATGTAATTTATATTTTATTTAATTATATGTCAAAAATTGAAGATAATTGACCAAAAAAGTCAAATCAGGATAAAAACCTAGGGAAGGAGATGGAAATACCTAATAGGCAATAGCTCAAAAAAATTTCGTACCTGTGCGTTGCACCGTAAAAAAATTCGTTATTATATTTGTCACATCTTAAAATAAATTTATTAGATTTATAATTTCAAATATTATCAAAATATTACTTTATCTAATAAAACTACAATATATATTATATTTAATAATAGATCAAAAGTTAAAAATACATAACAAAAAAAAAGTCAAACCTAGACAAAAACTCAGGGACAGAGATAGAAATATATAATAGGCAATGACTCAATTTTTTTTCGAACCCGTGCGTTGCACGGATTGGACATAAATTTTATGTGAATATACACATTTTCTGGAAACAAATTATTTCTAGAAATTCTTGCATATTTAATATTCATAAGTTATTAAGTTAACCAATAGTAATTCCTAACACTAAAAAACAAAGGTTTGAAACAATGATTTTAATTTTTGTCTTCAAGCTATTGTCTTGATATAAAATTTATGTTCGAAGTTGAACATAGAAACCAAAATCTATGTTTGGTAACACAAAAAGTGACTTAGGTATAGCTAACTATGACTGAGAATTAAATTTTCATGGGTATAAATAGCATATAGTAAGGGGTAACCAACTCTCCACATTAAATGCATGTATTTGCTAAATCTTGAGTCACACATTTCTTTTTCTCGACTCTCGAAAATATAAAGCATGCATTTTTTAAGTTTTTGCTTTTTTCGTTTTTCCATAAAAAATAATGATGAAGCACCCAGTTTTATGGTTACACATCCAACTCTCCACATTAAATGCATATATTTGTTAAATATTTTCTTTTATTCGATTAGACATAAAGATTGCCTTGAGCCACCCAATCCTTTTTCTCGATTCTCGAAAACATAAAGCATGCTTTTTTCAAACTTTTGCTTTTTCGTTTTTCCATAAAGAGTAACGATGAAACCTTTTCTTATATTCGTTAAACCTTTTCTTTTATTCGATTAGACATTGATATTGCCTTGAGCCACACATTTCTTTTTCTCGATTCTCAAAAACATAAAGCATCAATGTTTCAAGCTTTTACTTTTTCGTTTTTCATAAAGAGTAATGATGAAGCACGCAGCTTTATAGCTATACATTCAACTCTTCACATTAGATGCATGCATTTGTTAAATCTTTTCTTTTATTCGATTAGACATAAAGATTACCTTAAGCCACACATTTTTTTCTCGATTTCTTAAAAATTTATGTTTTCAAAATGTAGCATTTAAAAGTATAATTCATACACTATTTTTTTTATTTAAAAGTAATTTATTTTTTAATATAAATTGTAATTGAAAACCCAAAAAAAAAAATTGGGCCGTTATATTCGGCCCAAACCACCCAAACCCAACCCATACCTAAAATATATAAACTCCCCCCTAACCTAGCCTATATCGTGGATCTACATTTTTCACTATCGCCGCTCGCCGCCTTCTCCATCTCTTTAGATGTTTCGATGGGGATGCTTCCAAATATTTCGGCGATTACTACTCCTCTAATTCCACGACTTCAGTCGTCGATACACAAAATCGACATATATTGAACGCCGTGTGATGTATCTCAATTGTGTGATTGTAAAATCACTGGCGGCGATGTGATTTTGTGTATTCTGTCTCCGGCAAAAACCTTCCTTTTCGGGTAATTGTATTTAATTCAGTGTGAAAATTATCTCCTTGTAGCTTCGGCTTTGAAAAATCTACCTTTTCCTAGATCTGTTTGTTATTCATTAATCTTACTTGTTAAATGTTAAAAATTTCTGATCCAGATGGATAGATCTACCGGGTTTCATATTAGATATGTTGATTTATTTTTAAAAAAGCGCATGCAAATGAGAAATATGTATAAAAATTATAGATCTATCGTTTTAAAATATATATCTTAATTTTTTTAGTAACTAAAGCATGCATAGTTGCAATCACTTTTAAAAATTATAGATGTATGGTTTTCTATTATATCTCTTCATTTTTTTTCAAGAAACTGAAGCATGCATTAATATTTCTAATTTTTTTAAATAAATATTACTCTCTGGTTTCATATTTCAAGTCTTTATAATTAAGTTTGTGGCACTAATTATCGTGCTGCCATTAGCTTATGTTCTCATTAAGAAAGTTTAAGTTCTTTAATAAGAACACCCAAATAATGTGTGTTCTTATTAAATTTAATATGCGTATACCATATGCGTGTTAATATATATATATATATATATGTATATGTGTGTGTGTGTGTATATATATATATATATACTCCGTATATATATATATATATATATATATATATATATATATATATATATATATATATATATATATATATATATATATATATATATATATATATATATATATATATTGGTTCTGATGAGAATGCGATCTTAGGAGAGAAATGAGAATGAATCTGGTGCTTTAGATTGTGCGATCTAAGGGTCAGGATTGCATCAAAATTGGATGCAACAAAATCGTTTGAAAATGCATCACATCGAAATGCATCATAATCCTTTGAAAATGCACTATCTCAAAATCTGAGCGCAAGATGCAATCTGAGCCGCACGATGCATCAGATCCATTGGCTAGATTTCATTCTCATTTCTCTCCACAAGGTGCATTCTCACAGGAACCGGCCCCTATATATATATATATATATATATATATATATATATATATATATATATATATATATATATATATATATATATATATATATATATATCACTCGCCTTGTTGTTCCAGAGAATTAATATACATATACTTATTTTATATATTATATTATATATATAATTATTACTCCGTATTAACGTAATACAGGTCCCAACATTGGAATGTGTCTAAATATAGGGCTGTGATGATATGGAAGGACTGAAATCTGTTATGGTGAATTTTTAGGATTTTAATGTTTGAAGAATAAAAAAACAAATGTATCTTGGCGTGGTGAACGGAATTAACCCCCGTTGTTGCAGCCATGACGATTTTGTTTCTTATATTGCTACAAACTTAAAACCGAATTAAAAAATCTGAGCCTCTATTGTAAATATTATTATATATATATATATATATATATATATATATATATCTGTGTGTGTATGTATGTATGTATGTATGTAAAATGTAAAGAAGGAAACACCATTGTTGTGGAGAGCTAGATGCTCAATGAGAAATAGAAAGATTGAATGAGAAATAGAAAAGTGGGAATGTGAGGAGTTGTGGTGTTGGTGAATCAGAGAATGACCTATTATTTATACTATCAGGATTTGTGAGATTGGTATGAGATATAATGTTGGATTTGACACAAAGTTACTTTTTCATTTACTTTATGGAGTCACTCAAATTTTTCCCCAAAGCAAGTTTATGGAACCACTAAAAATAACTTTATGGAACCACTAAATTTTTGTTCCCCAAAAATTGTGTAAATCTTACTATTTAATTGATTAGATGGAAAGCATTGATATGACACTTTTCCACATAAAACATTATTACTTTACTTTATCGAGCCACGCACAGCCGTATACTGCAGCCCCATAAAGATGCACCGCAGCCCCATAAAGCTGTCAGCAGCATGCCCAAGAGAAGAGCAGTAAATTTGGCCCATTAATAGCAGCCCAGTCCGGCCCAACTGTTGTAGGAGAAAATGGCGGGAACACTGTTCATAAGCTCCTCTTACCATTGTATATAGGAGGATTATCGCATGGATTACAACGGACGGGAAGATGAACGGCCCCTAGAAAATAAAATAAATAAAGATCTAAATTTATAATTTATTCAGAATATTACAAAATAAATAAAATTGAAAATAAATTTCTAGATCTTCAAAAAGCCTTATTGTATGAGGAAATTATGCACTGGACGGCAAGGACATTATGCACTGGGCTGCAAGGACATTATGGCTTGAACCAGATCACCATTGAAGACAGTATGGCCTAGGGCAGAATGCAGCGAGGTCGTTATGAACTGAACCTGCAAAGCAAAACACCGTGGAAGGACAGTGGAGTCGCCGGAGCTGTCTTAAAGTAGTAGTGCCCGCCTACCGTACCGGAAAAACGTGGGCACTCTCCTCCCAGGATAAAACCGCTATCGTGTGTGGTGATTGTACGGACCAACCACACATCAACGAACAAGAACAACGTATGAAGGGTGGCGACCAAAAACTTTTAAGTGGATTGCAGGAAATTCGGCCGGAAAATCAAGAGCTTTCTAAAAAAACAAGAAAGTTTTTTTCCTTTTTTTTTCTTTCTTCCTCACGCATCAACATACCCAAAAATGGAGAGCCCCCTTGATTTTTATAACCAAGCAATTTTAAAAGTGTAACATATACACAATTAATTCTTAGTATTAAACCATGACATTTGTGGCACACTTAATGTCGTGTCAATGGTGATTAATTAGCCATTAACACGTCTGTTACGCTACGCTTCGTTTAAATTTTGTCCCGAATAATTAGAGATTAATGGCCAGTTAACTTCGTAAAACTGGACTAATTTTAAACAATACGTAAAAATAATAATAGAAGATTGGTTCAGTAAAATTACAAAAATTGCAATCCTTACCATATTCTTCTATTAACGGGTTAACTCTGGGAATCAATTTCTCATTCACCCTCTACCATTTTTGGCGTATAAATTATCAAAAACATTTATCTCATTTAAGAGAACACACGTCCATTAATTAACGGTTAAAACCGTTAGTGGAACTATTGACAAATATACCCAAGTTGGTCCATTTAATGCCTATTAAAAATGCCAAAATTCCAACACCATTTATTTAGCGTTATGAAAAAAGACATGGGTATTAAAAATATGAAAAAAATTGGATTTTTTTAAATGAACTAAAAAAACTATATCAAATAAAATAAAGTATTAATCTTTTATTGGTTTGATTTTAACTATTAGTTATATTCTTTATTATCTGAATTGGTTTTTTTATACATTTTTTGGATTGCTTTTTCTTTTTCAAAAAGCAGTATTATGATTATTACTATTTTTAATTTAAAATATCAATAAAAAGTAGCTCTAATATCCATAAATTTTGGAACATAAGTTAGTGTCATGTAAATTAATAAATAAAAAAATTGTATTATTTATATTAAAAAGTAGAAGAAAAAATAATAATGAGAGTGTATCGCAAAAATATTGACATTGGAAAAATAAAGACAGACAAATTGAGATACTGTATAAACTATAGTCATGAACATATTAATAATAATAACAATAATAATGTTGTTGATAATAATCAATTTAAAAATATATCATGTTTAATGTCATTGTTTGGAGAAACTAGAAAGAGTTTGAAGAAAAAGAGAATTATTAGGAAGAAACTGAAAGGAAATAGAAGAAACTAAAAAATGAAAAGAACTAGAAAAAACTAGATTTAAAAAAAATGAAATTTTGGAGTTTAAGTCGCAACTCTTAGGGTCTGTTTGGGAACAACTTTAGAGATTAGCGTTAGCGTTTTGAAAAGACTATCTACGGCCAGCATTTAGCGTTAGCGTTTTCAAAATAATCTGTACCGTTAAAATCTTATCCAAAACGCTAACGCTAATCTCTAACGCTATTCCTAAACAGGCCCTTAGTCATAGAACTTGTGGCTCTTTCTTAAATTGAGGACCGAACATAATATGGTGAGTACCGGACGGAATGTGGATTTTAAATTTTTAAAAATAATCAAAAGTAGTATACGAAGTACTCCGTATATTCTTTTTAAAGCTATCAAAGAATAAGTTATGATGCAAAATTAAAACATAATATTGAAAAAATATTAATTTCAAAGTAAAATAGCATTAAATATAATAAACATTTCAAGACTATTTTGTGAAAGTAATTTAGAAACCATATTTTATACTCCCACATCCCCAAAAAATGTCACTATTCACTAAATAAAAAATATGGAAATTTTTGTTAATTTGTATGCTTTCATCGATTATTTGATAAAATAAAATATTCTCTCTCTAGAGAAACACACACAAATGTAATTTTCTCACTCTTCGATCACACACATGATTTTTTGGGGGAGAGAGTGTGTGAGAGAGATATGAGGACAATGTTGTTAGGTACGGTCATAATTTTTTAGAAAGAAAGAGAGAGAAAAGGGACGGCGACTATTATGTATGCTCGTCGAGATCAGTGGCCACTATTTGGCATGCACACAATTTTTTTATATGGACAAACTCTTGCTTCGATATCATGATACAATTTAATAATAATGAGTGTTATTGAATAGCAATTATGACAACAATAGAATAAAAAAAATAAATTATAATAGTATTTTGTTTCTTATTATTTTTAATGCGGAACATCAAACCTAAATATTGCCAAAGACTTTGTGATCTAGCGACTGATTCTTCCATATAAAAGGTCACAGATTCAATTCCTAGTGAGTGTTGAATGTCAAATTCTTGCATAAAAATAGATTTATCTTTATTTACTATCAAGTGGTGCTCATAAATTATTGTGAAGGAATCTCATATTTATGCTTCAAAAAAAAAAAACTAATAACAGCATTCTCTCTCATTAATATCCTTTAATTCCATTCACTCAGTGAGTGACTATCCTACCCCTCAAGACCCTAACTTTTTTTCCTTTACTGGTTTTAGCTCTGGTGTGTGCTTTCTTCTCAGCTCTACAAACTTCTTACAGCTTTCAAGGCTCTTAGGAGCTAAAGGGTTTTCTTCTATTCACTTCCCTGTCTTTAATTTGTAGGCTCAGTAAAGATCATGAACCCTGAAAAGATTGAACTTTCATGTGCTTCTGGCCAAGGAACAGATGCTGTTTTATCAACCCCTATGGTAAATCTTGTTTTTTTTCTCTGCAATTTAATTTTTACCTAACCAGAGTTTTATTTACTTATTTCTTTATTAATTGTAATGATAATAATAATAATAATATTAAGTACCAGTAATTATTTTGTAAGTGTGTGTGGATGGTTCTGGTCTTACTGTGAGTTGTGATTAGCACGTAGCTTGAAGGAGTTGAAGGCTTCAAATATTTGGAATTATTGTCAGAAATTAGTTGGAATTTATGGTCATTTTCCCATGCTCTTTTGTGAAAAAAGTTTATTTAAAAATATTAATCCTATTTAATTTTCATTTGGGTTTTCTGTAGTAAAACCAATCACGGAGAAAATAAGTTCCTAGTATATTGCAGTAGTAAACTTGTTGAGTTTGAACCAACCTCCACATTTTATTTTCTTCTTCAAAATATATTTTACATTTTCCTTCGTGCCTTCTCGGAAACAACATCTCTACTTTGGAGTAGGGGTAAGAGCTTCGTGGGATTCTAATGGGTTTGTTGTTGTTGTATTTCTCCTTCATTCTTTCTTTTCACAGCACTTTTTATGCTCGGAACGGACCCTTTCTCGAGCAGTAGTCGTTTATAATAATAAGTTGTGCCAATTATAGTTGTTTATGGGTGATATGACTTAACATACGCCGTAAGTTGGTGACTCGTTGGATTAGACCAATACAAAAGTTAGTATACTAATTAATAATCTTCATTGATTACTTCACTTTGATGAAAACTTTTCAATTTGCAGGTTGAGGGGACTTCCTCTGAAGAAAATATGAGTGGTAAAAATGGGAAGAAACCAAACCTATTCCTAGAGATACCCACAAGAACAATGGATGATTCGTTACGTCAAGAGTTGGTTCAAATGAAATCATTACCAACTCCAACGCCCACTCCGAAGAAGGTGAATTTTGCATTGACACCGAGTCATGCAGCAGGTCCAAGTGTTCACGGATCATCACCCGGCCCGTTATCATCCAGAAGCCGGTCATCCTCTATAAGGAATCTGTTACCTAAGTTAAGCTTTATGCACCGCAGTAGTTCTAATCCAGATACTGAGAAAGATATTGATTCTGGTTCTTCAGAGAAGCTATCATCCATATCAAGGTCTTGGTCTTTCACTAAAATATTCACACCGCGCATAAAGAGGACGTCTTCTTTTCCTGTTGGTCCGATTGAGTCTGCCCGTGGGGGAAGTACAAGTAACCCTCCAACACCTCATGTAAGTTTCATATTCTTTTTTTGTTATAAGGCCGTAGATTCCATTTTCAATGTTGTTTTAGGGTCATATGTTTGTGTTTTCGGATAAAATAATGTGCATTTGGTCAGTCCGCTGTAACTATATAGTTTCATATATGTCAAAACTGCAGACCAAAGGAGCACTGAAGTACATTTCTCGATCGCTTTCTCTCCCGGTCAACAGCAAGGAGCAGAGCACTCAGAAAGTGGAATGCTTTTTTCGTGTAATTCCTTCAACACCTCGCGTGAGAGATGCAAACTCCAATGCCTCAGCCACGACAACGGCTCCAACACCCTATTCTGGTAATAATTTGTTTATTAATGGGGAGAAAGACTAAAATAAGAGACAAACATAGGGAAAGAACCAACATAGGACCTTCATGTTTTTATCTCAAAATAGGACATATAATGCCAACATATAATACCAAAAAAAACACGGAAATGTCAATATACATTGTCACATTGTCACAGTGCAATAGTCGTAATTTGAGGATAAAAACATGTCACCCCTATTTTGGGGATAAGAGATATGTTTTGCTCCTCTTTTGTGTGATTTCTTTTAATTAATGTCCTATGCCGCCTCTGGAAGTTGTCAGAAAGTCTAGACTCTAGACATGAAAAATCATTATTTATTGCAGTAGGAGATGAGGAAGAAGAGGGTGAAGATATACCTGAAGAAGAAGCAGTTTGTCGGATCTGCTTGGTTGAACTGTGTGAAGGGGGAGAGACACTGAGGATGGAGTGCAGTTGTAAAGGCGAACTTGCGCTGGCTCACCAAGAATGCGCCGTTAAATGGTTTGGGATTAAAGGCAACAAGACATGTGACGTGTGCAAGCAAGAGGTCCTTAATCTCCCTGTTACACTTCTAAAGATTCAGAGTGTACGCAATGCCGGTGCAACTAGTAGACTCACTCAGTTGGAAATAAATGGACACAGGTCATCTTATGTTTTCCAATGTTTCTTATATCCGCCTTAGTTTTGCCCCTCACTCAAACCGTTTTCAGTTGTGTTTAATTACGGGGTACTATTTACTCCATTCGTTCACTTTTAACGGACCATTATGACTTTTGTGATGCATCAAAAGTTGAACGAATATGGACATGTATCATTTATACATTCATTTGTTTTTTATATTTGACAAGCTGTCATCTGATCTGACAACAAACAGTGTTTGGGAGGAAGTGCCTATTCTTGTCATTGTTAGCATGCTTGCCTACTTTTGTTTTCTTGAGCAGCTATTGGTAAGATTGGCATCTTTTCATTCACTCAAAACCAGAGGGAAATTCATGTTTCTTTCTTTTTATTTCTCCTAAAAAAAACTATTTTATTGCTCTGTGATAAAACTAAATTGCTCATTTATCAGGTTGGGAAAATGGGTACGGGCGCAATAGCCATTTCGTTGCCCTTCTCTTGTGTCCTTAGCCTTGTCGCGTCTATGACAGCATCAACCATGGGTATGTTGTTTGAGTTTCCAAAGACATGTTAAAAGTTTATTGCGTTTTCTATGTAAACACATTATAATTACGCGTCGTTTGTTACTAAGAAAATTACTTGCAGAAACTGTTCTCGAACAAAAAAATAAGCTTTCCTTGGGAAACTTTTTTTTCCCAGAAAGATAATTTGTTCTACATACATCATAAAACATTAGAAATCTGCCGGGAATAATCCCAACTTTGGACGCTATACCCAAAGTACACACTACTTCAAAATATTACCTTAATAATCCCAACTTCAACATACTCATCTAGATGAGTATGTTACTGGTTGAGATTAGTGCTACAATAATTTGAAGTTGGAGTCGTTTTTGGCTGAACTCCCAAAGTTCGGATTATTCTAATCTTACTTTATAGCGTGGGCTTCTTTTCTTTTCTGCAGTGAAAAGAAGATTCGTATGGATTTATGCATCGGCTCAGTTTGCACTTGTGGTTATCCTCAGCCATATCTTCTACTCTTTGGTAAGATGCAACACTCCTATCTTTCCCACACGTTTTGAGAATTGATATGTGGAAACTAGCTAGTCAAGTGTTGGAGTGTTTCCTTCATCGAAATTATGCCGATATTATTCCCCCAACACTAAAGGAGCCTCACCTTCACGTGCAGACGAGATTCATTTTTGCTCGAGCCTTGCACGTAAAAATTATTTTTTAAAAAAACTAGGTGGCAATGAACTTTGAACTCGTAACCTCTTAGTCATTAAGGCTCTGATACCATGTCAAAGAACCAACTCAACTAAAAGCCGAAACTTGTGGTTGTAGGCCCAAGATATGTTTTATACTCTAACACTAAGAGAGAGAGAGACGATGGAAGAAACACGCATGCCGATTCAAACCGACTCAAATTGCTAGACCCAAAGCACACAAGCACTAACTAGATACTAAGACATAAAAACATATACCATCCAAAAAAAATGATTATATATAATCTCTCAGTGTAGTGGTCTTGTGATCTGGTTGAGTGAACCCCAACTCTTGTATTATAAATCCCATCTTGTGCAGGTTCATCTACAAGCGATTATGTCGGTTCTTCTGGCAACATTTGCTGGCATTGGTGTTGCAATGAGTGGAAGCTCCATCGTAGTTGAGTTTTCTAGGTGGAGAAGAAGAAGAAGTCGCGATGTCTTCAATCGCCAGCAACAGAATCCTCAAGTTGTGCTTAACACCCACCAGCTTCCAGACATAGAAAATCCAGAAACATAGTATCCAGCAGCTCATACAAGAAGCAATATAATGTTGTTGTACAATACAGGAAGCAGATGTTTGGTGTACAGATGTATAACTCCAGATTTATTCATTAAACAACTCTTGGAAGTGTCTTTTTTAGATGATTTTTTTTGAAGTGAGAAAATTTGGAGACTATTTGTCGATGAGGATCTTGGAAGCCGAAACCTTTGTACTCCCTCCATTCCAGAAAACACTTCCCATTTCGACTTTTTTCGATCAAACAATGATACATTTTGACTACAAATTGTGAGAAATTGATATTGAATTATAATATAAATTTTATATAATTGGATTCATCTTAGGATATAGTTTTGATATATCAAATTTTTATAATATTTCTACATTTAGGTTATGTTTAATTTGTAGTCAAAGAGTGTCACTGTTTGACTGAAAAAAGTCAAAATGAGAAATGTTTTCTGGGACGGAGGGAGTATTATTCAAAATGGTTGCCAAGTTTTCACATTTTTTAGGGGCATGCACCTCATCTTTCATCCCAACCCACCTATTTAAATACTCCCCCCCCCTCCCCCTCCCCCCTCCCCTCCAATGCCTGTGTGTGTACAAACATGGAGTGTTTGTAAATATGTCTGTTTTTGTTGGTGTACAAATGAGATATCTTATTTTGGTGTAATCGTAGGATTATTGTAAAAAAATCATGAAATAATGAAAATTGATATGTACATAAGTACTACATATTGTATATTCCCAGTGATCATACAAAAATGAAAAAATTATCAAAAAAATTTAAGAAATTTACAAGTTTATACTCTGTAGACGGTAATTTGTAGTTTGATTAATCGAGTGACTTTTTTTGTAAATAAAAGTAAAATTAATTATTTATGAGACAAAAGGAGTAATAGTTTTAGAAAAATGGGGAGACTAAATTTATTTATAACAAGCTTGTAAAATTGGTGAATTTTAATCCACATGCATGGCTAAGGACGGTGGAAATGTTGAGATTATAAGAGAGTGAAGAACCAAAGCTACTAAGAGCAACTCTATAGGTAAATTGAGAAGGTATATTATGTACCCCTTATTTATGGGTGTGAAATCATTGTGATAGTTTAAACAAGACACTAAATGCTATTATATATTTTTTTTATTGCACTACCATTTTGTACCAGTGTGGACCACAAAATGTTGGTGCATACCTTTAGTGTATAATTTGAGATACATTCCTGTTGGAGAATTTACAAATGTATCGATCTCTTTCTCTGATTCACACAATCAAACTCTTGCATGCGCACTCACGCACAAACTCAATATTACTAAGGGACGACTTTAGAGAACAACTTTGTATTATATAGAGAAATGTACAAGAAAAATTAGAATTACACGGGTATCACAGTTCACTCTTTATATAGGGAACACTTCTCTTCACCTTATTCACATGCACTCTAAAAAAGTTTTCTTTGTTCTTCACTCTTCTTGGATTGTCAAATAAGGCATTCACACCCTTATTTATTACTCATAGCAAGGCTACGCTTCTTTAGAAGACTCCACCTATCCCTGCATCTCTAGAATCTTCTATTTTCACAAGCTTCTATAATATTCTAAAAGAATTTAGATGACTCCACTTTAGTTCTAAAATATTCTACATTTTTCCAAACTTCTCTAGAAAATTCTAAAATATTCTAGAAACGTCTATACTCTTCTACACAATTCTAGAGACTCCTACAGTTCTATAGAAAATTTTACAGCATTTTAGAAAATTCTACACATCTCCACCAACTACTAGAATTCTTTAGAATCTTCTCTCTCACAATCCTTTGAATATTCCTAACAATTCCTTGGTGTACCCCAACTATGGTTGTTTGGAGTGTGGTTATGATCCTTTTCTGTTATGCATTGACATTTTGTATCAATATAAGACATCAAAATGTAAGTATAAACTATGAGTGTATTTTGGGGTATAACTAACATGATTGTTCACACTATAGACCATGTTCAAATAGTGTATTCTTCCCTCTCTGCGCATTACGATATTTGATTGAAGTTATTTTTAAATTATTTTATATAAAAAATGATTGAGAATTAAAAAAATAAAAATTACATATTTAAAAATTACTCCAAAAGATCTAGAAAATTAGACGTGTCATGACTATATTATTTTTATCAAATGATGATAAAAGTAAGCCAACAACGTAAATAAAGTTTGACTCTATAAATATCAAACGAAAAGATAAGTTTTTGACAAATGGAGTATAAATGTGCGAGAGTAAATAGTGCAAGGTCCTATCAACCAATTTTCTTTCGTGGGGAGTAATTCACACTATAGACCATGTTCAAATAGTGTATTACATCAAAAAATCTATAAAATTAGATTTTATAAAATGGACAACGAAAATATGTCAACAAAATGTATAAAGTTTTACTGAATAGTAAACAAGAAACTAATTTTTGAGGCAATTGATATTTGCACTCCAAATATGTTAATGACACTCCACATTTTTCCATCTATTTTCAATTTGACACTTATACCCTTGTGATTTGTTTTTTCTCGCTCCAATATTAGTGCCCTATATTGGACAATAGGCCACTAGCTCAATAATTTAAGAAAGCAGAATGTTGCATTTGTAATTGAAGTATAGACATCAACTTCTTTGTGTTAGATTATAACATTATATTATAGAAGAAATCATGCTAAATATGAGTAAAACATAAAGAAAATATCAAAATAAAAACTTCATGTTTTTTATCTTTAAAATAGAAGTTATAGTATATGAATATTTCACATTACTTTTGGGATTATATATTCGTCCCTATAAAATGATTATTTTTGCAAATATTGTCCTCCCCTAAGTTAAATATTTTTTTGATTCTTGTAAAATTTATAAATTTTATTTTTAGTCCCTTTAAAATTCTTTTTGTTCATTCAGTTCTATTTTTAAACTATTCAATAATCATTCACGATTATCTTATTCTTTTTATTAAGTATTTACTTAATTAAAAGATCAAATTCAATGCAATATTTTTAAATTCTTAATCGATTAACTACATTTTAAATTTAAAAAGTTGCTAAATTAATACTTTAGTTTTTAGGAAAACAGCTTTTGATAAATTAACACAAAATTTATTTTTATTGTAATTTTTAGTATAATTTGTCAAATTTATGATCTTTTAGCGAAATCCTGTCCCTCACCATCTCGGATGATTTTTTCATTTTTTTTAGGGTGACTATGTATAACATGATAGTAAATAAATTTATTAAAAATGACCTCGTTATTAATTTATTTAAGAGTTTTTATAAAAAATTACTTTAAAAAAATTTAAACAAATATTCAGTAGCATAGTTATTCGATTAAGCTATGAAAAATATTTCAATAACTTTGACATTGTAATTAAGTTATCTTGACAAAAAATAATAAGTTAATGCTGTACAAAGTATCACGTAGTAAATAATTTAAAAAAGAGGAAGAATGTACAAAAAAAATTTAGAAGAAGTGAAAACAAAATTTATAACTTTTTCATGGATCAAACTATACATTTAAATTAGCGGAGGACTAATTGCGAAAATAATGAATTTATATGGATGATTTAATTTAAAAATATTTTGGAGAGACCAAAAGTAAAAATGTACCAATTCTACAAGGACCAAAAATGTAATTAATATTTTTAAATTTTACACTTACAATCAAATAAGTTGAATTACAAGTAAAGTCAATCAACCATCATAATTTGTAATGGATAATTCAAATTGATATGGAGGGAGTATGTTCTCCAACTCTGATTCGTCATCCAAAAGATTAGAACTAGCATTTTATTTATCTTTAAAAATTTAATGAATTAAAAAAATATAAGAAAAAGATAAAAAAAATTGCAAAGTAAAGATGAAAGGATTGTGAAGCACTACAAACTCATAAAGTACTGCGGAGTATTACTCCATATTATTTTTTGTTGATTTCAAAAAGCACTAGTATTAGAGAGCCAAAAAAATGAAAAGGGTATTAGTGTCAATTTAAAAAGAGATGGAGAAATGTGGAATGCCATTAACATATTTTATTTGGAGTGTAGATATCAATTGCCAATTTTTGAAGGTGGGTGTATAAATGTGCGAAAGTAAATAATGCAATTTGGAGTGCTAATATGAAAAATTGGCACAAAATATCATTTCCCTAAATTAATCAATAAATTTAATAAATTACCTATATTACAGAATATAGACAATTAGACATATATAGAATATCGCATAGGCGTACAAATGGTTAATCATTCATTTCATCAACGGTCAAATGAAAAGAAATTGTTCACACAAATATCAATTTTGGTCAAATCTGACAAAAATAAGATGATTGTTCTATTTCATTTCAATTGGTCAAAATTTATGAGATATTCATACTATGTGTTCATATTATTCTCAATCTAATGACGCATAATGAATTAATATCTCTACTGGTGGAATTAAAAAAATAAAATTAATACATTTTAAAGTTACATCAAAACGTTTTCGAAACAAGAAGTAACATAACTATGTAATTAATACTCCGTAAGTAGCAAAATAGTCAAAGAAAGTGAATAAATTTTGGTCATGAATAGTGAACATGTACTATAAGGCCATGTGTAGCAGGTGTAGAGTTACCACTAAACGCTAAATGAGCGGGGTCCGGGACAGCGCCCATGAAAAACTATTTTCCCGAAAGACAGTATGAAACAATATGATAAAAATAATGTTAAACTTTATCTAATATTATAAATTACTACTCATAATTTATAACTATGTAAATAAAAACTTTTAAATTTAGAAAGTATATATAAATAATTTAGAAAACTAATTTTCAATTAAAATGTTAGGCAGTAAAATATTTTGACTTTTTTGGTTAGAAAAGGTTGATGGGGGCATAAAATATTGGTGGGGGTGCTAGTACTATTTTATTTAAAAAAAATAGACACGGGAGTACTTTTTTAAATAGAGAGTAAGTTTTTTTTCTCCTTTAATTTTTTTAAACAAAAAATTAGTGAAAAAGACTTTATTTATTTTTAATTTAAAAATCTTGGAGTAAAATGATTAATTTTTTTAAAATTAAGCATTGTTAAGTACTCCGTATTTGTTAAGTACTTTTTTAAATTTAAACGGATTTTTAATGTTTTTACTACGGATTATTTATTTTTCAAATTTCATTTTTATTTTCTAAAATAATTGATTTAAAAAAATAAAATTAGTTAATTATTGATTAATAATTAAGGATCCTTATATAGGTATGAACTACAATATACTCCCTCTGTCCCTAAATTATTTAATTTTTACGCAAAATGAAGAAAAAATTCATTTTCAATCCATTTTATTTAAAG